CTGCAGTAATCCTAGGGAAGCCCGTGAACCCCACCCCCTAGCTGAGCTCTCTCGCTGGCACCCCAGCTCCTGAGTTTGCCTTGGAAGTGCAATGTCCCTCTGAGGCCCCCATGATGCCATGGTATGTGTCCCCTAAGATCTGTCCCACCCACCCCACGTCTGACACCCTGGCCACTTCCTCTCCACCTTGTGTCCGTCAGTCCTTCTCTCTCTTAGGACCCTCACCATTGGCCCATAAACACACTTAATCTTTCTAGTGTTGAGAAAGCAATTTGCTACCTCTGCAAACCCCCTAGCCATGTACTCCTATGTGTCCTCTATCCCTCCTGAGCCCACTGCCCAAATGTGTCACCTCCGTGCCCTCCCTAGATGCACATAAGGCCCTCGAGCTCTGCCAGCAACCTTGGAGATATCAAAACCAACACCTCCTCTTCCTCTGTATCTCTGTGGCATTCCATCCCTTCAACCACCCTTCTAGAATGCGCCCTTCCCTTGGCCTCCAGGTCACCATCTCTTCCCGGGTCACTTCCGCTCTTCCTGAAATCCACTCATCTTCCTCTTCCCACTGTCCCAATCTGGCACTGTCCGGTGACCATCCCTGAATCCCTTCTTCTCTCCCTGCAAGAGCTTCCTTCATGACCTCACAGTCTCATCTTCACCCGACTGGATCTCATCTCTGGACTTCCAGACCATCTCCATCTTGGCACTTCAAATTTGTAATGACCCAAATGAACTTTTAATATCTGTTCTTTTCTCTCTCTCTCTCTCTCTCTCTCTCTCTCTCTCTGGCAAGATCATGCCTCCAGTGACTAACGCCAGACCCATGAAGGCTCCCTCTGGCAGGAGACCAATAAATTTCCACCCCAGCGATCTGCTGGGTCTGCCCTCCTCTCCACCTCTACTCCCTCATGGAGCTCACGCCCTCTAACCTGCATTTCCGACAGGGTCCTCTAAGCCTCCCTTGCCCTCTGCTCCCCACAAACACCTGCCGGAGGGATGCTTCCCAAGCCTTCGGTGGTCGCCCACCGCCCACAGCACGAAGACCCCTCAGAGGCTAAGCACGCAAGGTTCTTCACGGCTAGCCCGACCCAGGCTTCCAAGAAGCTTCCCCACAATCCCACTTCACTCTGCGTGCCCTTTTCCCTGTCCAGTTCTCGTCAGAGCCACAACATTTCCCGACAGCGAGTTCACTCAGCCTGCCACTTAAGTGGAATTCTCTTCCTTCCATTGTTCCACGTCTGAATGCTACTTTCTTCAAGGCCCATCTCAAATACCCCATCACCTGTAAAACATTTCCTGATCTACTCAGTCAAAACTAATCTCCTCAGGCGCTTCCACCCCATGTCACTCTACCTGTACCTCCATCCCCACGCTCACACGTGTCCTGCTTGTGTTCGTGCAGGTACGAGGTGGGAGACACCCTATCTCCCAAACTGGAGGCAAGCGTGCCAAGGACACAACGCCAGTCTGGATACCCCCAGTACCACACCTAAACAACAGGAGGTACACCATAAATCTGGGATGATTAATACATGGTGAGATGTGGAAAGGTGTTTGAATGAAAGGCTTTGCACTCAGGCAATATTTAAATGCAAGGGTTTGGGCCATAAGTGGGTCTGGATTTGGATTTGGAGCAGGGAAGGTGTCCAGGAGAGAACTAAGCCCAACATCCCATAGTAGCAGACCCTACCCCAGCCAACCATACTGACCACACCTTCGTTCCAGGCCAGGAGGCACAGCACCTAGACCCTGCCCTTGGCCCTGGGACCCTGCCAAAGAGGAAGACCCACCTTCCTCCTGTGCCTCTAGTGATTAGGCTCCTTCCCAGCCCACCACACCTAAATGAGCACCAAACAGCCAGAGGGATATGGCTGGCCTCATCTGACCTCCTCCTGCAGGAGCAAGGAGACCTGAATCTAGCTCTGGCCCTGCCTTGAACTAGCTATTTGACTTTCACTGTCACACCCAGACATGGGACAAAACCAGCATTTCCCACTCTAGTTCCACGGGCCACCAAGCAAAGTGGCACATCCATGGGCAAATCCCAGTGAGTGCATTACAGACTCAATGTGGGAAGTGGCACACTAGATGCTCCCTATGGGCTCCTCCAGCCACACTGAGCCAGGAGTCAGGGAAACTGCTGGAGACACAGCTTCTGTGGGGCTTCAAAGGCTTCTGCTCTGTCCCTAAGACCCCTGAGCTCATGACCTGCTCTCGGTAGCCCTCCCCATGGTGGGTCATGCAGCTGAGCTGCCCTGTTGAGGGAACACAAACACAGCACCTCTCTGGAGATAACCAGACTGGGGCGGGCAAGGAGAGGCCACAAAGGGGTTCTGGACAGACCCTCATCTCTCATGGAGGGGCAGGTCAGCCCCAGTGTGCACCAGCTTCTCACCACTGGGACGGCAGGGTGGAGGCCCCAGCAGGCTGCAAGTCTGCAGACCAGGGCTGGGCTGGAGAAAGATGAACAGACTTAGAATCCCTATCTGCCCCACTCTCCACACCAAGGAGACAACAGGAACCAAAGACGTCCCAAATCCAGCCTAACAATCACCAACGGTAGGAACCCAAATGCCTTCTCAGCACCGGCCACTCCTCACCCCACCCCAACCCACTCTCAGAGGAGTCAAAGGATCAACAGCATCCGGAGGAAAGGTCCTCACAGGTGGCCTCTCCAAAGGCAGAGGGAGTTAGGCGGCCATCAGAGAGAGACACTGAGGGGAAGACAGGAACTCCGGGGTTGGGGGAGATGGCCCTGGGCTGCACATGCCTGTCTGTAATTCACTGCCCAACCTTATGTGCATCTCTCATTCCTCTGGCTTTCACTCTTACTTTGACAATGAGGGGACAGAGTAAACCAACTCAAGGCTGCTTTCCCCCCGTCCTTGAGCAGGCCTGTCACCAGGCCAAGTCCCCAAGACAAAGACGAGAATCCCAGTGGTCACAAATGTCTGGGGGCCATGGATCAGGAGGGGGTGGAGACCTGGGAGGTGCCTGGTGATTGGGCTCTGGCAGCTCCAGCTGTACCTAGCATCAGGAGAGGCCCTTGGTCCCTTGCTTGGGAACAAGAAGAAGCTGCCATGGTCCAGAAGACCACAGAAGCAACATGGGGACAAAGAAGGAAGGGTGGCTTCAGTCCCAGGAAGCAGGAAAGAAAGGAAGCACGCAGAGAGGGGTAGGGTGGGAAGAGGGGGTGGGTAGGGTGGGAAGTTCAGGAGCAAAGCTGCTGCCTTTGGGCAAGGCGGCATTTACTTAGTGGCACAATTCTAGGGGGAAATCAACCAGTAGGAAGGACTGTCATTATATGGGCAGGGAGAAGGCACATTTATGGTTGGAACCTCCCAGCGGGTGCAGGAAAGAACGATCCTTCAGGGTAACCTACAACTGGAGCAGTGATAAAATCAATCCCCACGGAAGAACCCACAGCGCAAGTGATGAGTGGGAGTGAGGCGAGAAGGAACCCTGCATGTGGTGAGCAAGGTCCCCCTGGAAGCCAGGCCAGGGCCACACCGCAGAGTCCAGGAAGCGAAGAGCATGCACAGACAGGATCTTCGCACAAAGTGCCTGCCTGCCTCCTCTCCCCATGATCCATGGCAAGATCCTCCCGTAAGGCCCATAAAACATTTCAGATGTCCAGTTCCCTCGTTGGGATAAAAGATGAAGGATGTCCCTAAAAGGCTAGAAGTCCCTGAGCCTGCTGTGTGGAAGCAAGGCAAGGTGGCAGCTGGGGCTGGGCGGAGCAGGGCAGGGGCTAAGAAGGGGAGCGGGCAGCAGTGGCTTGGGGCTCAGGATCCAATTACACTGCTGTTTCCATACTTAGCCACCAGACAGCCCTTTGGAATCCTCACCACTCCAGCCACAGCAGCCCTGCAAGGCCCAAATTAACTCAAGGGCAGTCAAGGGCAGGGCCCAGCGGCACATGCAAGGCCAGAGCCCCCCACCTCGATCCCTAACCCCCCAAAGGGAATATCGTCTGCTTCTGCCCGCCACCTGCTTGAGCGGCGGGGGCTGGGACCTCAACAAACAGAACCTCAAAGATTGGAGAGGCTGCGGCTCTGGACCCCATGGTCCCCTGTACGTCTGAGGACTGCCAACTCATAGCAAGGCGAAGCAGGAGACCCAGATTCCTGCGGGCACCCCAGATCACCCCCTAAAGCATCCCCAAGGGGGACCCAGCCCCAGGAGTCTCAGGAAGAGAGAGGTGGCAAACCCTCTGGTGTCCCCTCCATGCTTATAAATAACCCCCATGCTGTAACCCGAGCCTCCCCCTCACACACGAAGTGCTGAGATCCCAAAGGAAAAACCATTCACACAGTCCCCCAGTCCCCTTCCAGTAAAGCCCCCGGCCTAGGTCAGGGATACTCTTGAGTATCCTGCTCCTCTCCTGAACTCCGTGCCCAAGCCGCAACTCCATCTCCAATCCCGTACCAAATTGACCACTCCTCTTTCCCACCAGTCCCCAGAAAATCCCCAATTCTGTCTGCTGAGCCCAGTCATCAATCATGCAAAGCCAGCCCCCTGCCTAATCTCCACCAGGTGGGAGGGTCAACACGACTCAGACCTCCAGAGCCCCTCCAGCCCCAGGACTGGGCTCTTCTGTTCATCTAGGGGGGGTCCTCTAGTCTTAACTTTTGGGGTCTTCTTCCCCACCATCAACTGGCCAGACCTGCCCCCTGGCTCTCAGCCCTTGGCTCAGGCCTCACACCTGCCTGCACCGCTCAGTTCACGGCTCCCACTTCCTCTGGCCTCCCCGCAAGCCCCTGACTGCACTTGGGGTCTCTGTACCCAGTTTCTTCCGGGGACCCAGGGAAAAGGGAATGGAGACGATGGTGAGACCAGCCAGGAGTAAAGGTTTGCCATCAACCCCAGGAATCCCAGAGGCCTCATCCCCCATCTATCACTCAAGCCTCTCTCGTCCCTTCGCCCCCCACAGTAAACATAAAACCTCAGGGCACATGGGGGTCACCGTCTGGCCTGGCTGACAGGGGTGAGGGTCATACCTGTTTGTCCTGGGAGCAGGAGCGAGGCCACAAAGCAGCAGAGCAGGACCAGCGTCCTCATGGTGACTGCCAAGAGAGCCCAGCTGCTCCTCGCCTCTATTTATAGGGCTGGTGGCGGCGCAGGGTGGAGGAGAAGGGTCACACAGTCACTAGGGCAACTGGGTGGACGTGATGGGGAAGCAGAGCAGACCCTGACAGGCTGCACGGAGGCTCGCTCTGCCACTGCCCTGCCAGCTGCCAGGCCCCAGAAGGCACTGCCTGGGCCGGATTCTCTCCCCACAAGCAGCCTTGGGGTCATGTGACACAGGTCACAGGGGAGGGATGGTAAAGAAAACGTGGGGCATCCCTTGGGTTAGGTCTGGGGGCTGGGAACCCAAGTCTTTGCAGTATCTGAGCTAACTTGTTCTGAAGTCTGGGACAAGTCAGTGACCTTCAGTATGCCTCGGTTTTGTGAACGAAGGAGCCTATGTGATAGCCACCGACCGAGGTCTTGGCCCCTCCCCAAAGGTCAGGAAGGTGAAGCCACACTGGCCGGTTAAAAGAAACCTGCAACATCTGACCTCTGAGGTTGGTGGCTAGATATAGAATGCTGACAGGACCGAAAAAAGGGGGACCTAGGAGATGTGTACCCTGCTGTGATGTAAGCCAATGGACAGAGATCCATTTCCAGTAACAGGGGGGTTCCAGAACCTTCCATCATGTCTGCAATATGCTATTTGATGTAATTTTCCCAAGAGCATGTGATGGCCCCTAAGAGCCAGTTCTGTGAAGCTGAGTGACAGCAGACACTGGTTGGTCGGGCTAGGGGGAAGGCTTCACTGGGGTAGCAGTTGGCCATTGAGGAAAGGAGCTGAAGTCAATTGGCCATTCTTCTGTGGGCTTTACATTGAACACAGCCTTACTGAAGTATAATCCACATGCAGTACAGAACACTATTCACATCTGATACATTTTGACGTACGTGTAGAAACACGATTAAAATAACGAACTGATTCCTCACTCCCAAATTTTCCTCATGTCCCTTCCTAGTTCCCTCCAACCACCCCCTTCCCCACTGACCACCACGGAGCTGCTTTCTGTCACTACACCTTATTTTTCATTTCCTAGATCTGAATACAAATTGAATCTTATCGACAGTGTTATCTGGTTTCTTTCACTCACTCAAAATAATTATTTTGAGACCAATTGTCACTGCCGTTATGTATTGATAGTTCAATTCCTTCTTTTTTTTTTCTCAATAGTATTCCACTGAATGGGCTGACCACAATTTGCTATTCATTCTCCTCTTGAGAGACATTTGGGTTGTCTCCAAGTTTGGGCAACTACCAAACAAGCTGCTGTGAACATTCGTACATGATGCAACTTCTATACGTTCACTTTCCCTTCTCCTGGGTAAATATGCAGGAGGGGAATGGCTGGACCAAATGGTGAGGTACCTGTTTAATTTTTTTTTTAATTTTATTTATTTATTTGACAGACAGAGATCACAAGTAGGCAGAGAGACAGGCCAGAGGGGTGGTGGAGTAGGCTCCATGCTGAGCAGAGAGCCTGATGCGGGGCTCGATCCCAAGACCCTGGGATCATGACCGAGCCAAAGGCAGAGGCTTTAACCCACTGAGCTACCCAGGCGCCCCTGCTTAATTTTTTTCTAAGATGACGGTGCCATTTTGCATTCCCGCCACCAGTCCCTCCACATCCTTGCCAATCCTTGTAGACGTGTTGTGGTACTGTACTGTAGCTTCAGTCTGCGTTTTCCTGATGGCTAGGGATATTAAGCACATTTCCATGTGTGTATTGGTTGTCCACTTCTTTCATGTGTCTTTGGTGAAGCGCCTGTTCAACTCTTTCACCTACTTTTTAAAACGGTTGTTTCCTTTTCAGTGTTGATAGTTTTTTTATATACCCTGAATACAAGCCCTTCCTCAGATATGTAATTTGTAAATATTCTCACCATCGTTGGCTTGTGTTCATGTACCGAAGTGTCCTTCAAAGAGCACAAGTTCATAATTTTTATCAAATCCAAAGAACTCTTCGCCTAACCCAAGATGCCCAAGATGTTTTCTTATTTTCTCCTAGCAGTGTAATAATTTTAGGTTTTACATTTAGATCTATGATCCATTTTGTGTAATTTTTAATATGTTGCAAGGTATAAATCAAAGTTTAGATTTCTACACGTGGATATGCAGTTGTTCCAGCAGCATTTGTTGAAGACACTGTCCTTCCACTCAAACTGCCTTTGCAACTTTTATTAAAAATCAATTGAGGGGGGATGCCTGGGTGGCTCATGTGGTTGGACGACTGCCTTCGGCTCAGGTCATGATCCCGGAGTCCTGGGATCGAGTCCCGTATCGGGCTCCCAGCTCCATGGGGAGTCTGCTTCTCCCTCTGACCTTCTCCTCGCTCATGCTCTCTCTCACTGTCTCTCTCTCAAATAAATAAATAAAATCTTTAAAAAAAAAATCAATTGAGGGGCGCCTGGGTGGCTCAGTGGGTTAAAGCCTCTGCCTTTAGCTCAGGTCTTGATCCCAGGGTCCTGGGATTGAGCCCCGCATCGGGCTCTCTGCTTGGCGGGGAGCCTGCTTCCTCCTCTCTCTCTCTCTGCCTGCCTCTCTGCCTACTTGTGATCTCTCTCTGTCAAATAAATAAATAAAATATTTAAAAAAAAAATCAATTGACCATATGTGTGTAAAGCTACTTCCGAACTGTATTCTTTCTGTTGGTCTATGTCCTTCCACTGTGATTTCCTAATCAGTCTTGAAATCATGTAATGTGAATCCCCCAACTTTGATCTTCTTTTAAAAGTTGTTTTGGAGTGGGGGCACCTGGGTGGCTCAGTGGGTTAAAGCCTCTGCCTTCGGCTCAGGTCATGATCCCAGGGTCCTGGGATTCAGCCCCGCATCGGGCACTCTGCTCTGCGGGGAGCCTGCTTCCTCCTCTTTCTCTGCCTGCCTCTCTGCCTACTTGTGATCTCTGTCAAATAAATAAATAAATAAAATCTTAAAAAAAAAAAGTTGTTTTGGGGTGGATTCCTGGGTGGCTCAATCAGTTGAGCGTCTGACTCTTGGTTTCCACTCATGTCATGATCTCAGGGTTGTGGGATGGAGCCCTGCATGGGACTCTGCGCTCAGTGGAGAGTCTGCATAGGATTCTCCCTCTCTCTTTCCCTCTGTCCCTCCCCCCATTTTCTCTCTAAAATAAACAAATAAAATTTTTTTGAAAGATGTTATTTATTTATTTGAGAGAGATAGAGGGAACACAAGCAGGGGGAGCAGCAGAGGGTGAGAGAGAAGCAGGCTCCTCACTGAGCAGGGAGCCTGACACGGGGCTCAATCCCAGGACCCTGGGATCATGACCCGAGCTAAAGGCAGATGCTTAACCAACTGAGCTACTCAGGTGCCCCAATAAGTAAATCTCTAAAAGGAAAAAAAAAAAAAAACAACAAATGCCCCATCAGGGCTCAAACACGCCCTTGCACAGACATGTTCATAGCAGCACAATAAATAAGAGCCAGAAGATGAAAACAATCCACGTGCCCAACAGTATATGAGTGGAGGAACCAAATGTGACCTATCCATACAATGAGATATTTAGCCATAAAAAATGAAATTCTGGGGCACCTCAATGGCCTCCCACATGAGGCCAACGTGCTCCGGGGACACATGCCCACCTGCCGCCTCACCTTGCCATAGGATCCCTCCCGGATCCCATAGAGAATGAGAAGGCCTCTCCCCTGATCTCAAAGCAGCAGCCCCCCACCACCCTCCAGTGCCTCCCCAACCCCACCAACACCTCCTCCTCCCCATAGGGTAGCAGGAGATTTTCATCAACTCTCTCTTCGAGTTTTCCGACCATCCTCTTTATCTACCACAGGGAGGAAGGCAATGGGAGACAGACGAGCTCATTTCTGATACCCATGCAGCACGTGTAGCCTTCTCTAGTCACTTTCCTGCTTCCTCTTTAATTGGATCCAGAGGCTGTCCACCAGAACAGGCTGCACCCTGGGGGTGGGGTGGGGAGTCTGTGACTTGGGCCCCCTAATTCAGGAAACTCTGCAGCTGTCACTCCTCGCTCCTTTTCAACACCAGGGGTGTGGTTGGGGGGACAGTGGGTTTAGGGAGGACATTCCTTTCTACAGCTGCCTCATGGAGGCCCTGCACCCCGCAGTCCTACCCTCCTCTTGGTCAGCATGCGCTCCTGTCCATCAACACCAGAAACTTGCAACTCAGTGGGGCCACAGAAGAGAGGGGACCAGGACAGCGGGGTGGTACTGGCTCTACGCCTAGCCCAGGACCTGCAGGACCAAGAGAGGGTAAGCAGAACTTCAGAGAGAATGATAAAGGGAAATGCCACAGCACAGTGCCATCCAGAAAGCACAGAGGCAACTAGGTAAAGAAGGGACAATCGGAAGGACTCAGGTGGGACAGGGTGAAGCCAGAGCCAACAAGGTCTGAGGTGAAGGATGGCCAGGCCAGCCAGCTCCAAAGGCAGCTAGAGGATTTCCCTGTGCTTTACATACTTGTCCGAAGCCATTCTAAAGCCAGCTCATCAACTGCTAAGGAGGCTGAGGCTGCAGGAAGGCTCCCACCTCCGCCGGACAACCCTTCAAACGTGGCAGAGCGGGGCCGACTCCTCCCCTGCCAAAGATGCCCCAAATCGTGGCATATGTGGCATTTATTTATGAGAACCCACCCTGTGCCAGAAAAGCATGAAGACGGCTCCCGAGTACTCATAAAGTGTAACAAGCAAGCAAGACTGAAAGTTAGAGTACAAGAAAACCACACCAAGGCCAGCACACAAAAAGGAGCCATTTGTAAGGCTGGCACAAACGCGAACGGCACTACGTACGTAAGGCCCTCACATGTGTGTAACTTGATCACTCGCCAATTCACAGTGTCCTTAAAATAAGAACAAACCAGCTGCTTGGGAGAAATGAAATTACTTCTGATACTGAGACTCCACAGGAATTTCTTCCGAGGATCTTCTTCGTAAGAAGGACGCAGTGTAACTTAATGATCCTTGAGAACATCAGCAGACATACATTTCGATGAGGTTTATCCCTAA